ATATCTGAATTCTGAGTCAAGATGAAGAAGGGGTCGAATATTCCTATGAAGGGTGAATGCTTTAGGTAAAACAATAACGCCGGGGTTAATTAAAATGTTTTGAACTAATCTTTTTTTAGTAGTATGGTCGAGGGCTGTTAGGGTGCCATATTTCAAAAAAGAAACACATTTTCCTGACGTTATTGCCTAGATATTAACTTTACGAACTTATATCAATTTTGGAAATTATTCCAACTTCATTTATAGATAAGTTATCTTGGAACAAAGACTTAACGCGAAAAGCGCTTGATTTATACAGATTGTGCATTTTAATTGGCCTAAGTTTATGTCTCTGCCATCGCACACAAATTAATATTATAAATGACTAAATGGAAAATCCAACTCGTCGCGTATTCAATACGTAATCGAAACAAATCAATTCGATTTTTAATTAACTACTCGGGTCCTGTTCGTGCTAAAAATTCACGAACATAAGGTAATCGCTTCGTTAAATAAGCTCGAATCACCCCGCAAAGAAGTCCCCGACCCAACATTCCAATTCAGCCACCGAAGTTCGCCGGAAAATGGCCCTGGTCCACCTACTTGAGACCGTTTCCGCTACAAATATATACAGTGAAAAGGAAAGCAATTTTCTTGATGGTTGCGTTACGTGGAAAAGCGCTAGATATTTTGTGTACGATTCCAAGGCACCAGCAATAAAATTTTGAGCAAATTGCATCACGGTTAGAAGCTGGGTAGGGAAATAAATGTGGTGTTACTCAGGTGGACCTCATGTATAGATGCAAAGAACGAAAATTATAGAAGAAATGGTGAAGAGATTAACGGGCAGCATTTGACAATACGACGAGGAGTCTGATGCTGGAGCTGTTATAAAAATGGGCGCATTGCTAGAATGGGTCAAAGAGAAGAAGCGACCGTTTTGGCCCGGAGTCTGCCATTCAATCGCGTCATTTAAGCATTAACACGCGCGGCACCTTGTAAGAAAATATAAAAGTGGTAACGTAGAAATTTTGTTTAGAAAGAAAAACACCCTGTAGTATGTATGTGTTATAAAATTCCTCCGTTAGATGTTGCCGTTGTCGTCCCCATCCTTTGAATTTAAATCTCTTCACTTTTCCCCACTTGATTTGTGCTTCTTCTTGACCCTATTGCAGGGTTGACCTGTAGTCACCAAGAAATACGCACGTACGAACAAAAACCCTTGCAAGTTTTAAAAAGTGCTTCTAAACGCACAAAAATTCGGAATGTAGTTAAAAAGTGAAATGTTGACAGTCGTCATGTAATAAAATTTGCAATGTAAACCGTACCATATAGGTACGTTTTTTGTGACAACTATCAAATTCGCCAGAACAATATTATTGTGTACAAATGCGTACCTTATTCCTGGATTCATTTATTTGAAAAAGGTAAAATAATCGGTTATTCTCGGGACTGATCCAGCAGGGAAGATAAAAATGGCATTTACATAATTAAATGGCAATTGATAAAGTTGTAATTATCGCGGCATAAAAAATGGTGTGTAATTTTTCATTTGCCACTTCAATAGCAAAGGGTGTGCTTAAATTAATTCTTTCTATGCACATTATGAATTTTAATCCCAATGACAGTTGTACAATATTTCACGTATAAAATGTGCATTTTGGTAATAAATTATTACGTTTGATTTTGCTGCAGAAATAACAAATAACTTGGGCTCACGTATTTAATAACTGGGCGACAACGGCATGTCGACGTCTAGGTATATACTGCAGGGCAGAACTGTAGTTACTTTAGCCTGAAACATCATAGGTACAACTAGGAAATAAATTTAAGATGGACGACTAAACTTGTTAAATTAAGTAACGTGATGTTTTATAAACTAGCTACTCTTGCTACTTGGGCCTTAAGAAGCAATAAAAGGCATAATTTATACCGGGTCGTTCAAATTTCACATCTTGGTCAAGTAATAAATTTTCATAAAGGGGTTTATACCCAGTGCTAAATGTTATCAATTACTTTATTTCAACGTGCATGCAATTACCATAAGTTTGTAGGGTTATGTTTAAATACGCCCTGAATGTTAAACGGTTCGATAGTCTTGATATATTTATGGTAGCGTGACAAAAACTGATCAACGACGTTAGCTGTCAGCAGCTTCATAAAAGTAGCAGCTAAATATTAAATATTACCACTCACACTAGTATGCGTGTTTGCTTGATATCTTGAAATACCAAATAACACAATTAGGGAAGCAATCGCAGGATAATCGTGATAGTTTGAAGTATATATGGGAAGTCTTTCATTTTTCAATGTAAGGTTTTTATTTATTTCGACTAAATTATCCAAGCGGTTTACCTAGAGGTATTTAGTAAAAGGTATAATGAAATGTTCATAATCTTATCAACATAAATTACCCATTTACAAACAGTAGCAGAAAACGTTAAATATATAAGTTGGTTATCCCTTTCCATTAGTGTTTGGCACGCAGACCCTATCTCAACACACATTAGCATGCGACCTCACTGTGGCATTAGAATTATAACACACTAAATCACGTGAGTGTGCTTTACAATTGTGCTTAATGATCGTCTTTTTTATGAAGTTCACCTTCATTGCATATGAGCAGGAAAACTGTTCTTCGTTACTTCGTGTTTCCGTTTGCGTTATTTCATAGAATGTATTCTATTATCAGCTGTTTATACTCTATCATACACTAGATATTCTACTCGTACTTGGTATGCAAGCAAGGATAAAATTTAATTATCAAGTCGTAGTGCGAGTCAATTTGAAAATTGTAGTGAAGCTAAGGAAGCCCTTTCAAACATAGACAGTAGCAGCGGTCTAACTACTCATTGATACAAGGTATCTCAAGGAAAGCTTGTAGTGCTGTGCCGAAGAACACGCATGAGGTTTAGAGAAATGTAAGATCTGTGTTTGAACTAAAATTATATAATAGTATGGAATAACTTACGTGAAACTCATTTCGAACAATGTAAAATCGCCGTTGTAAAGAGTGTTAAATACCTTGGTTTAATTGGATTATAAACTTTCCTGGTCAGTAAATGTGAAAGCTCGCTTAACCTCATCCGACTTATGACCCGAGTGAGTTGGGGGGTAGACAAAACTACAGCATTAAACATGTACCATAGATACTCGATCATTGATCGACTATGGTTGCAGTTTGTATGGAAATGCATCTAAAAGTAATCTTAAAAGAATTGATATTGCTCAAAATAAAGCCCTTCGGCAAGCTATAGGAGTAATGAGAACTACACCTATTAATCCACTGCAAATTTTAGCACGAGAACCGTCCGTCTACTTACGTCGTCAATTTCTTGCGGTTAAGTATGTTACCAAAATATTAACAAAAATCCGATGCAACTGAATACGGAACGATCCTCGAGATCTTCGCACATACGTAATTTTTACATCACATTCCGTCCCACCAGATCAGCATAGCTTGTAAACAAAATTTTTGAATCGGCATTAGTTTTACTTTTATTCGAGGTGCCTACATAAAAATTTCATTTAAATATCTTAACAAATAAAAAATTTTTAATTTCGCATGCGCAAAACCAATTGTTTAATTCGGCATCAGTTTTACTTTTATTTGAGGTGCCTATATAAAAAATTTCATTTAAATATCTTAACAAGTAAAAAATTTGAAATTGCGCAAGCGCTAAACAATTTTTTGGTATGGCATTAGTTTTACTTTTATTTGAGGTGCTTACGCACAAAATTTCATGCAATTAGCTTAATAACTAACGGAGATGTCCAAAAATCGGATTGCGCCTGCGCAAAACAATTTTTACTGACATCAGTGTTACTTTTGTTTTAGGTGCCTACATACAAAATTTCATTTACAGACAAAAAAATTGGGATTGCGCAAATACAAAAATTGGGCTGCGCATGCGCGATTTTGTTTTATTCATCTGCATAGTTACCTGAGGTTTAAGGAATATTTACTAATACAGAAAACCGGACATTCATGTGTTCTTTAATAATAATAATAATAATATATTTATCCAAAAGATCCTAAACGGATATAGGACAAGTCAAAGGCCAAACAAAATGATTATACATACAACTACAACAAAATTTAAGGTTCTAAATCAATATTAACATAAGACATAAATTCATTAACACTATAGAAACAATTTACAGTTAAAATTTTTTTGAGTGTTAAACTAAAACGCCTGAACGGAAAATTTCTAAGATTCAGCGGTAATTTGTTATATAAAACCGCACCAGCATAATAGGGATTCATTTTAAATAGTTCTATTCGATGTTGCGTATACGACAATTCGATACCTCGTCTAGTATTATAGTTATGGTATGTATCAAAGAATGATCTTTGTATGTATTTAAAGAGGGAAATTGGTTAATATTGCATTTAACAAATTTCAACAGTTCAAATGTATAGATACACGGAAAAGTTAACAAAGCGTTAGATATAAAAGTACTACGGCATGATGTGTCCCTACTTAAATTAAACATGTATCTGATTGCTCTTTTCTGCATCACAAAGACTCGTTTGCTATGTATACTGTCACCCCAGAAAATGACACAGTAGCGCATGATAGACTCAACATTGGAGTGGTAAAAATTTTTAGCTACATTAACATTTGAAATATATGACAGACGTTTAAGAGCAAAGCAATTAGACGTTATTTTATTGCACACCATATCAACGTGCTCTCTCCAGCTTAGAGAACAATCAATGTTACAGCCTAGTAGT